CCGGAGGCACTACAGTTTAACTTTACTTATCTTTTCTCGTTTTGTATTTCTTTTGGCAAGTTCTTGTAAATGAAGACATATTTTTGCTCAAATGTTTTATTTTGAGTCTTACTTTTGCTTGAATATCCGTGTAAGTTTTTTAACCCTTATATTCTTTTAAGGATTCTGCGCATGTTTTTCTGTTCACATTTTACTGTACGTGGTCTCGGATGAATTTTCTTCGATGCACTTTGTTTCCGAGAATTATCCCTTTTATGTGAGGGTTTCAAAAAGTATTTGCGCAAGTTTGCTTTTTGCGTCCTTTTCATATGTGGCTTCGGGTGTATTTTTTCCCGATAGCATTTTTGTTTCCGGGCATAAATTCCCCTAGAACCAACCCTTTAACGTGAGGGTTTTTATAAGAGAGGGCCCTCTTATGTTTACGGTGCTCTTGAATAGGACGACTCCTGTTCATTACGACACTAACATTTGAAGTACTTGTTTAAATTTCAAATGAAAAGTTTAGCTCATCGTTCAGACAAGAAATAAGATAAAAGTAAAAGGATTTCATTTTATTCCTTCCATTTTCAGAGATTACATAAGCATTTTGCTATGCAGAAAAGAAATTGCCATGACTTGTGGCTATCTTGTACAACTTGTTTCTATGGGACTGGCTGCGCAGTCCACAGTCCCGATGATATATTTTATTCCTGGATTTTGTTCCCCGATTGACATGGCATTTAGTGTTATCGCATCTTCATATCATTCCCCCTAGTATTCGAATGCGAAAAATGTGAATTGGAACACTGGAAGTCTTGTATCTTCGAAGGTTCCACCAATGAATTGCTAGGTAATCCTTCACTCGGCAACATATCTTATTTTCCCTTAGAAACCCATGCTATCGAGCGAAAGAATACCTAATAGTCCTCTAGTGGTTTGTGATCGTGAATGGTTGGGTAAACTCTGTTCGGCAACAAACTTAAATTCCCGATGGGAAATTTCTATCGAACTAAAGATTACCTAATCGCCCCCGAGTGAAGCCTTAGCATTGGAGATCTTATTGATGTTGTCTTCGTAGTATGCTTTCTATCACTGCCTCATTAAAAACCTTGCCAGAAAAATCCAATTGGGATAAAAATTGAACGAAGGAAAAAAGAGTGCACTACATACTTCCTGCTTGGTTAATGTTTATGAGCAATAATATTTTTTGAGGCGTGCCACGTTCCAGTTGCTAGGTAACTTGTCTCCGTTCTGGTCTTCCAACTCATGCGAGCCTTTCCCAGTGACAGCTAAAATCCGATAGGGACCTTCCCACGTTGGACCCTGCTTCCCCGCGTTAAGCTCCCGGGTATTTTGAGTTACTTTCCTCAGAACTAAATCTTCCACTTTGAAATAACGAAAATTAGCTCTTCGATTATAATATCACTCCATTCTCTACTTTTGCGCCGCCATTCTTACATGCGCCAAGTCCTTGTGTTCCTCGAGCAGCTCCAAGTTGATTAACATTGCTTTGTTGTTTGATTCTTTGTCCGCCTGGAAATACCTTAAGGTTGGTTCCCCTACCTTCAATGGTATCCAAGCTTCTACGATGTACACAAAGGAAAAAAAGGTTTCTCCTATGCTTGACTTGGCCGTTGTTCGGTAGGCCCATAAAACCCCAGGTAATTCTTCGGGCCAGTTGCCTTTTGCTGCTTCCATCCTTTTCTTGAGATTTTGAATAATCACTTTGTTTGTTGACTCCGCTTGACCATTTGCGCTCGGATGATAAGGTGAAGAGGTGATCCTCTTTATCTTCAAATCTTCAAGGAACTTTGTAACTTTTGCGTCAATAAACTGCGACACATTATCGCATGCAATCTCTTTTGGTATTCCAAACCTGCAAATTATATTTTCCCACAGGAAGTCGACTACTTAGCGTTAAGGACCTGCTTTCACCCATTTAGAAAAATAGTCAGTCAAAATTAAAAGAAACCTTACCTTTCCAGTAGTTGGTGGTAGTGGTCTGACGATGTCTATTCCCCATTTCATGAACGGCCACGGGGACAGAACCGAATGTAGGGATTCTGCCGGATGATGTACTAGTGTGCGTAGCGTTGGCACTTATCACATTTTCGTACGAAATCTTTGGAATCTTGTTCCATACGGGGCCAGTAATATCCTGCCCGAACTAATTTTAGCACCAAAGAGTCTGCACCCGAGTGGTTGCCGCATATCCCTTCATGAAATTCTCTCATGACATAGTTAGCTTCTGATGCTCCTAAGCACCGGGCTAACGGGCCTTGAAAGGATTTTCTGTACAATTGGCCTTTCTTAAAGCTATATCGTGCAGTTTTGGCGCGTAATGCTCTTGATGTTTTGGGGTCTTCGGGTAATTTTCCATGCTCGAGATAATCTATTATTTTATTTCTCCAGTTCCAAACCAAACTAGTCGAACTCACCTCATAGTAACTATCTGTGTCCAAGACCGAGTTCTTTAGTTATACTACCGTCCCTGATTCTGATCCATGGATTTTTGTCGATGAGCCCAAATTTGCTAATGCATCTGCTTCCGTGTTATCTTTCCTCGGGACATGAGTAATTGACCACTCCCGGAATCGTGCCAATAAAGCCCGAACCTTTATCACATATTGTTGCATACGTTCCTCTTTGGTGTCAAAAATTTTGTAAACCCGATTTACCACCAACTACGAATCATATTTGATTTCAATGACTTCGGAGTCAAGCCCCCGGGCCAATTCAAGCCCTGCAATCAAAGCTTCGTACTCTGCTTCATTGTTAGTTAAAGGAATCGTTCTGATAGCTTGCCTTAAGGTTTCCCCCGAAGGCGCAATCAAGATTATTCCGAGCCCGGACCCTTTTACATTTGAAGCTATATCCATAAATAAGGTCCAAACTCCCGATGTCGATTCTGGCACTATTATTGCCTTCTTGGCTGTCAGAGGCAATAGTCCCGCGCTGAAATCAACCACAAAGTTAGCCAAGACTTGTGACTTAATTGCAGTCCTCGATTTATACTCTATATCGAACTCGCTCATTTCAACGGCCCATTTGGCCAATCTACCCGAGAGCTCGGGTTTTTGGAGGATATTCCTCAAAGAAAAAGTAGTCACCACAGCTATCAGGTGGCATTGTAAATAGGGCCTCAGCTCCCAATCGGTGACTACGAGAGCGAAGGTCAGCTTTTCTAGATGTAGGTAGCGAGTTTCTGCTCCCGTTAAAATTTTGCTAACGTAATAAGTGGGAAATTGCGTACCTTTATCCTCTCGGACTAAAACTGCACTTACTGCAACTTCTGAAACCGCGAGGTAGACTAGCAATGTTTCACCTTCTTTTGGTTTTGAGAGCAACAGAGGGCTTGACAAAAATATCTTTAACTCCTTCAAGGCTTGCTGACACTCCGGTGTCCATTCGAAATTATTTTTCTTTTTGAGTAGTGCGAAGAAGCGATGACATTTTTCCGATGATCGGGAAATGAACCTACTCAAAGCTGTCAATCTTCTTGTGAGCCTCTGGACTTCCTTTACGTTAGGCAATTAATCTGGGATGTCCTCTATGGCCTTGATTTTGTCGGAATTTATCTCAATTCCCCTTTGTGAGACTAGGAATCCTAAGAACTTATCGAACTGACCCCGAACGCACACTTCTCAGGGTTAAGCTTCATATTATGCTCCCTCATGATGTCAAATGTTTCTTGCAAATGCTTCAGGTGGTCATTTGCATTCAAATACTTAACGAGCATATCGTCTATATATACTTCCATAGTCTTTCCTATTTGTTTTTCGAAGATGTTATTCACGAGTCGTTGATAAATGGCTCCGGCATTTTTTTAACCCGATGAGCATTAGATTGTAACAATATGTACTAAAATTCATTATAAACAAAGTCTTTTCCTGGTCTTCTGGGTTCATCTTGATTTGATTGTACCCTAAATAAGTATCGAGGAAACTCATTAACTCGTGCCCGACCGTGGTATCAATCATTTGATTGATATTCGGAAATGAGAATGAGTATTTCAAGCACGCCTTATTAAGATCCTTATAATCTACGAACATGCGAAATTTATTATTTTTCTTAGGAACTACTACTACATTAGCTAGCCAGTCCGGATATCTTACCTCTCGGATTGAACCAATCTTAAGTAAACAAGTTACCTTTTCTTTGACGAATTTATTCCTTGCTTCAGTAATAGGGCGCTTCTTTTGCCTTACTGGAGGTATATTGGGATCCAAGTTTCTTCTTCTTCTTCGAGTTTCAATATGAAATTCAGCCAAAATCAAGTCTAATCTTCACCAAACACCCTCAAAATTGAGATATAAACTCCAAACAATATTTCTAATTTTTTGCAATAACACCCAATCCAAACAAATAATGATTTTTGAAAATCCAAATTCGAATTCAAAGCTTCAAAGTTTTTTAATGGCCGTCAATCGTAGAGAGTCAAATACCTTCAAAATTTATTGAGTCGATATGTATACAAGTTTTTGTTGTCCCACTATGACACAGTACAAAAGGATTCAATTTCCATAAAATGTCTGACAATGCAACTTATCTAGAACCTCTTATATTGAAGTTAGGACAGTTTGGGTAAGAATTTAAAAATGGTTAAAGTGACGTAATGGAGAGCCTTAAATACGTTTGCTCATTTTTTTGTTTGTACGCTTTAATTTTCTGAAATTCTATGAATTTTGGAACGTTAGTAATTGGCATATTCCCAGCTACGTGTAATGTGAAAATAGGATAGGGAAAGATGAGAGGAAAGAAAAAAGGAAAAAAAGGTGTAACTGAATCCCTCAAATTAAGGCACTACTAATGAGTTGTATATAAATTGTAAGAAAAACTTATTTAGGGCGGGTAATATACAAAACTAGGACAATTTTGATAAATAAGTTTCAAATATTGTATAGGAACGAAAAAATATCTTTCTGAAAATTCCTCAAAATATAACAAATCACATGGACCTCCGTTAGAAAGTCCAATGACTACGAGCCCATATATATCAACTGCAAATAAAGCAGGCTTTTAAAAAGGCTGGTCCAAGTGATTTAGGATTCAGGTCCACAACCATAAAGGTGAGGAGCACTACACTGTATTCCTTCGAGTGCTCACCAACTGCACCTACCGGTTCTCGGTCAGGTGCGCATCTTGCCATCTTCTCAAGCGCCAAAGAAGGATTCGAGCAAGACAACCTTAAATTACATAAAAAGATTTGATTTTTAACGACGCCCATCTCCGAGGTTTGTGAAATTAAAGAAAATTAAGGTTTTAATGGAGGGGCTGATGAGTTTTCGAGCGAACTCTGTTCGTGCTGTCTCTAGACAGCAAAGCTCGGTACTAGTTCCTACATTCTCTTCAAAAATTACTAGTACAAGAGTTTCTGTTCATCCAATTGGAATGGTGAGAAATTCCAGATTGTTTAATTCATTTGTTGCTTCAGTTCAGCCCGTTGTAGCCTCTGCTGTTACGCCTTTTGACAACACATTACCATCTAAAGGTAAACATCAGGATCTGATATCATTCTTGCTGGGGCTAATATGTATTGTATATGTTTGTGTGTCTGTAAGTGAAAAGTCTGAATCTTGTTTTCAAAACTATAGCATCTGTCATATCTTGTTATGGATTGGTTGTTTCGAAATTTCTCAATTCATGCATGTAAAATGAATTTGGCCTGTGTCTGTGCATATATGTGTGTGTGTGTGTGTGTGTGTGTGTGTGTGTGTGTGTGTGTGTGTGTGTGTGCGTATGTAAGTGAAAAGTCTGAATAGTGTCTTCAAACTATGAAATCTGTCGTCTTTGTTATGGAGCAATTTCCCATAATTTTGTTAATCATGTTTGTAAATGAAATTGGCCTGAATATTTTCTCAAAAATGAAATTGGCCTGAATAGAAATATAGAGAATTCAGGTTACCAAAAAGAAATATAGAGAATTCATGTAGCTGACTTCAACTAGTTTGGAATTGAGACGAAGTTGATTGATTGATGATCATTAAAATGAGATATGGATTGGGTTTTATTATGGAGGGAATTGATTATGAACTATGTAGCAAACTGATGGTTTTCTGAATTATGTTAGAGGTTCTTGATGTTTGGCAAAATGCGAATGCTGTATGCTTTGATGTGGATAGCACTGTGTGCATAGACGAGGGCATAGATGAATTTGCAGAGTTTTGTGGGGCTGGAAAGGCTGTAGCAGAATGGACTGCTAGGTTAGCTGCCTTTATAATTTGTAGCAGATAATGGTTATAATCTAATATTAAATGCTATAGGATTTCATATCGCATTTATCTTGACTTTGACAGGGCAATGAATGGCTCTGTTCCTTTCGAAGATGCATTGGCAGCTCGTCTGTCGCTTATCAACCCTTCATTGTCCCAACTCCAGGATTTTCTTAAGAGACCTCCACGGTAACAATGTGCCTTTTATCACCTATGGTACATAAGGTTTCCATTTCTATGAACTATTTTTACCATCAAGACAATGAAATATTGAGTCATTCGAATTTTCACCCTTTATGGAAAATTGAACAGTTACATTTAAGGAGTGGATTTGCTTTATAGGTACAGAGTATTACTATCTGCTATTCCCCTTAATTAGGGGCCTTGATCATAACTGCCAATTTAGTTATTTGAAAAGACTTTTGACTGAGCACGCTATATGGTCATGGTTGTCAATTTTTTTTCCCTTTGAATTCAGACTTCAGATGTTATAGCTGTCTGGATTCATTATTCCTGCAACTTGACTAGTTACAGACATGTTGTAATTAACACAAAAACTATCAGTTGATAGGTTCTCCGAAGCAATCAATAGTAGTTAGGCATAATTTAAAATGCTGTTTTTTTTTTGATGAAGTAAACAAATTGCATTAGTTAAGGCATCAAGAAGATGCAGAATTACAAAAGAAGAAGGAATAGCTCCAGTACAAACCAGGGGTTAGTTGTTCTTTCTTAACCTCGGGGAGCTCTAGCCCTCTTTATTAATTATCCTAAGAGTTAAGTCTTACAGTTCAGACAACAGCGGTAGTAGTATTAAAAACTCAACCACCCTTCAGGATCTTTAGAGGCCGTGGCCCCTGCCAGCTCTTTCTTCACTATGGCATTACAAGGGAAAAGTGATGGCTTGGCTAGAAGAGCTACTTAAGCTTTCATCAATTATAAAATTGTTGAAAAGTGACATAACCGGTTTTTATTATAAGCCTGTGATAGAGATAGACCATAACATAAGCCTGGGTCTGGGCTCAGCCTTTGTTATATAAAAGTTTTGCCCTAAAACTATAAGAGATGGCTTGGATTCCTCGCTCGTGTTCATGTCCACAAGTTGCCTGGTACAACTATAGCAGACCCATTGATTCTGATTTAAGGCTATATTATCCATCTAGATTGTCTGAATCAGATGTCAGTGCCCAGTATTTGAAATGGTGGAGAAAAGAAGTATTATTTCTAGCTGTTGCATTCAAAGGAATGTTGCGTGGACTAAGGAGTAAAAGAAGATCAAAATGGCTTTCTAGCCTTTATGCTCCTCCTGCTTTTGCTCCCAAGTTAAAACATGTGAAAGTAGCAACTGACTGTAACTTACGTAGCAACTGACTGTAACTTAAAAGAAGTAAAAGTGGAGAATTACCCTGATGTTCCTCCTGGTTTTCCACCCAAATGCGGTGAGGTAAATGACAAGAAGAATATATCGATGGGGGAAAAGAAAGTAAAAGTGGAGAATTACCCTGATGTTCCCCCTGGTTTTCCACCCAAAGTCAGTGAAGTAAATGAGAAGAAGAATATTTCTTCGGGGATTTCACAAGCAATGGATTTCAACATTGCGCCTCCTGATTCAATGGAGAAGAATACTACAGAAGAAAGAAGTTACACATTCCCTGACTATGCACATGACAGGAACAAGACTAATAGTGTAGCTCAGAATCTGATTACCAACAAGCAGAAAAGTGGGGAAAGAACTAGCTGTATTGATATTAACTTGCCTAGTTTAATGGATTTAGAAGCTCGTCTTGGCCGGGTTGAGCGACTAGTTGCTTCACACAAGAGTAGCTAGATTCAATATACTTATTGCAATTTCAAATGCATATTTCCTTTTGTGTGGTTTACTTGCTTCAGGTGTATTCTTCGTTTTCCTCTTCTGTTTTCTGTTTACCTCCTTGTTTAATTAGTTTAGGTATGAACTACTAGAATAGTCTGTGTCTAATTATCCTTCCTTGTCGATAAGTTCAGTCAAGATGTGAAAATATATACGTACAAGCTTATTAGAGAGAATGTACAAACTTACTCAATATATGATAGTTACAGTTGACAGTAAGCCTGTTAGAGCTTCATGCATTTATTTTGGTTCGCCGTGAATGCTTGCTTTGAAATCCCTGCTACTTATACTCTGTGGAGTCCTCAATCACGAAATGATATTCTTGACTGCATATTATCTTAGCGTATTAAACTTGCAGCTCACTGAAGTTATGTTCTTTAAGTTAATAAAAAACATCAAATCAGGCCAGTGAACTGAAGTAAATTGGGGAGACGTTACTCAAAGTATGTTCTCTCTAAGTTTCATGTGGTGAAAAGGGGATATTTTAAATAATATGAGCATCAACAAAGGATCTTGGTGGGGAGGTGTTCTTTTACAAATTTTCGTAACCCTTATACCAACTGATATGTATCTACTCACACCTTATGATTATGCCAAGAGACGAGGCAAAAAGTACCCAACAATTTTATGAGAAAATGGCAGTGTTGGATTCAGTAAATTGTCCAGATTTATGAATGTGAATGTCGTTGTTTTCCACTATATGGTGTGCTTTTGTGTTGTTCAGTCGATGCTGGATAGATGTTGGTCTATTTGCAGTGTTACTCCTGATGTGAGTCAACCAGCAGTGGGCAAGTGACGAACGCGACATCTTATAGTTTTAATCCCTTTTTACCTGCTTCCCTGATTGGTTACAGTTAATTGGTTCCTCCAAATTTCATACCTGTATTCCTTCGGTCATCTGTTAGTTTGTGAATAACAAAGATATACAGCTTTGTGTAATTGACTTTTAGTATATCTAAGTCCCCAAAGAAAAACGCATATCAAATAAAGAAAACAAAAAAATTAGAGGGGGGTCAAACTTCCTGACAAGGAATATCGCTACCTTAGGTTGCCGGGCCCTGGAGGACTGACAGGGCGCACTGTTCCAAATGTTCCTGAAAATTCTTGCTCCCATTGGACCATTTGTATCTGTGCACTCAGCAAACCGTATGTCCCTGCTTGGCATAGCTATAAATTCATCGATAGCAATTTTAAAGGAAATCCCACACAATTTATAAATGTTGCAAGTGAAAAGACAATTTCTTTTTGTATTAAGCAAAACAGTATAAGATAATCTGGCTAATCCTTCAATCCCTAAAATTGCTAGACAATTCAACTTTGTTATGGTGTCTCTTTGAAGCTAGTTGGTTGTTTTTTTAATTAGCTTGGGTTGTTGAAATCTTTTCAAAAATAATCTTGCTTAATCCATTGATGCCAAATAAATCAACTAGTGTCTGGTGTCCCTTTGAAGCTAGTTGATTGATTACTTTATAAAGCTTAGGGTACTGAATCTTTTTTGGTTGTGATTGGTGCAGACTTTCTCCTGGCATTGATCTATTGGTCAAGAAACTGAAGGATGAAAAGAAAGACGTTTATCTGGTCTCAGGCGGGTTTCGTCAAATGATCAATGTATTTCCCTTGTTGAAATGTTTATTTTATGGTTAGTTTTATTTGTTCATCTTGCACCTGATATAAACCGATCAAAGATATGCTGTTGTGATTTTGCACTTCTTATAATATTAGGAAGTTCCAAACTTTCCAAGTGAGTTTTAAGCATCATTCTGGATAATGTTTCTATTCTTCGCTGCTGTTACTAATTTTCAAGTTTTAATTTGCAAAGTGCTTTACTGGGAACAGCTAAAATTGGCTGGTCATCTTCTTGTATAAATGTTATCATATGTATGAATAGGTTATGCTAATAAAATTTTCCAGTAGTTGGAACAAGAGGGTCAGGGCAAACCCGAAAACAAGATTTTTCTGGTTGGCTACCTTTAATATGATGAAAGATTTGAGTGGTCACTTGATTCTGTTTACCATAGTGTCCAATTAGACTTTCAAAAAATTTTCTGCTAGTTACCCAATTATTTGGTGCAGTTATTTGGGTGAAAAATGTGTTTTGATAACTTTAGTTTGATCAGTCATCATTCTATCTCCATATCAAATGTGTTTTTTATTTTTTATTTTTAAAAGTTGTGCTGATCCCACAATGTGGTGTATTATCTATATTTTTTCTAACCATAACTCTTTCCTGAAGCCTGTCGCATCAATTCTTGGTGTACCGATTGAAAATATTTTTGCCAATCAAATGCTCTTTGGGAGTGATGGAGAATGTGCTGGGTTTGACAAAAATGAGCCAACTTCAAGGAGTGGTGGGAAACCTACTGCTGTTCAACAAATAAAAAAGGTTGGTGCTGGAACAACTGGTGATATAGTTGCTTATTTTAATTTTTAAAGATTGCTCATAAAGCTAAGTAATCTTTCAGGCTCATGGGTACAAATCAGTAGTGATGATTGGTGATGGTGCTACTGATCTTGAGGTAAGTAACCAATACGCTTGTCTCCTGTTTGACCGCCAACTCCAATCACCCAAATGGTTAAAAAATGGGTGATGGATGGGGTGATATATGTAGCTTTTGTTTGAAAATTTACAAAAACAAACTTTGCAAACTCAGAATTTGACTTTTTTTTGCAAACTTTGGTTGTTTGAGTTGTTATTGCCAAAAAGAAAAAGGAGTTAGCGAATTTTTTTAAAGATTTCCAAACTCAGTTTTTCAAAACTTTCAAAAACTCAGAAACTCTAGAAAGTAGTTTTTATTATAAAATATAGCTTAAAGTAACAATATATAACAAGGAAAAACAAGCTAAGAGATATAGAGAGATAGAGAGAAGGAAGAGATTTTCTTCTTCAATTGTGTGATCTTTCCATCTATTACAAGGCCTTTATATAAGCATGAAAAGTGAAGAAATATGTCATTTGTTGGTTTATAGATATGTATAGTGTAGTCTTGTCCCACATTGGAAGAGGAGTAATATCTCCTTGTAGTGTATAGCTATAAATATGGACCTCTTGTATTGTATTTATCATCTAATATCAATAACATATTTTCTCCCGTGCCTTCTCACATGGTATCGGAGCATTAGTGAGAAAAGATCGCTGTGCGTCATTCCAACGTTAACCGGGAAGAAAGAACTTAGTCATCGTGTAATTTTTCCAGTGACCTAAGGCTTGTCTAAGTGAAAGTCACTTTCTGTCGGTGTTGTGCTAAAATCAACACCACCACGATGTAGATCACCCTCCGACTGCCAACCCCTGAAATTTTATCCGGCAGAAAAGCCGCCACGCTCCTCCACGCGCCGACAACAACTTTTCCGGCGAGGGTTTCAGCCACTTTCCGGCCGTTTTTTCGCGAAGCTTCTTCAGGACAGTGTGCTCTCCTCAAAATTTCGAGCCTACCCATCTAATTCAAATCAAATTCCGGCCACTTTTATATTTTTCCGGCGTGAACAGTGACCTTTCTGGCCATTTTTTAAAAATATTTCTTAAGGACAGCTTGCTCGCAAAGGAATTCCGAGTCTATCCATTCTGGTTACAACAATTTCCGACAACTTTGAAATTTTCCGGCGAGCTACAGTGTTTCCGGTGAGCTACAGTGTTCCCGCGTGAACAGTGTTCCCGGCACAGAACAGTGTTCTATTTTCCTGCTGTAAACAGTATTTTTCAAACTATTTCTTCAGTTTTCTCACAGGAGTTACTTATTTCCACTATTTCAAGTTAACCCTACTACTACAAATTGTAGCGACATGGGAACCGATGCTTTGAATAGTCGGATGGTTTCTTTAGCAGAGTATATTGAGTTCCTTCAGTATAAAGCATGTAAGCAGACATCTTCTGAGATAGCTTCTGTTGTTCAAACAGGTAATAGCGTGACTTGTTTCTCCCAATCTTCATCCTCTGAGTCTTGGGTCATTGATTCAGGTGCATCAGATCATATTTCTGGTAACAAATCTCTTTTCACTACTATTTCGTATTCTCAATCTCTTCCAAAAGTCACAATGGCCAATGGGTCTCAAACCATGGCAACTGCAATAGGTCAAGCAAGCCCACTTCCTTCCTTACCTTTAGATTCAGTCCTTTATGTTCCCAATAGTCCTTTTAATCTCATAGTTGTTAGTCGCTTAGCCAAATCACTTAAATGCGCTGTTTTATTTCTTGATGACCATGTTTTTATACAGGAACGCAGTACGGGGCGGATCATTGGTACCGGGCGTGAATCAAACGGACTTTATTACCTTATCCTTGCTAAATCACATGGACTCACATCTTGTCTTCCTTCTACAACTTGTCCTGTTACTGATTCACCAGATTTATTACATAAACGGTTGGGACATCCCAGTTTGTCAAAACTTCAGAAAATGGTATCTGGTTTATCTCACTTGTCAGCTCTAGAGTGTGAGTCATGTCAGCTCGGTAAGCATACCCGCTCCCATTTCCCTCGACGTCTTGATAATCGAGCAGAGTCACCTTTTACTTTAGTCCATTCAGATATTTGGGGTCCTAGTCGGGTCAGTTCCACCTTAGGATTCCGCTACTTTGTTAGTTTCATTGATGATTATTCCAGGTGCACTTGGATATTTTTGATAAAAAATCGATCTGAGCTGTTTTCTATTTTCCAGACCTTCCACGCTGAAATTCAAAATCAATTTGGGGTTTCTATTCGCACATTTCGTAGTGATAATGCCCGAGAGTATTTGTCTTCCCCATTTCAGCAGTTTATGAAATCTCATGGGATTATTCATCAAACATCTTGTCCGTACACATCTCAACAAAATGGGGTAGCTGAAAGAAAGAATAGACATCTTATTGAAACTGCTCGTACCCTACTCATACAATCTCATGCTCCGTTGCGTTTTTTGGGGGATGCCGTTCTTACATCTTGCTATCTTATTAATCGTATGCCATCTTCAGCTATCCAGAACCAAGTTCCATTCTCTGTCATGTTTCCCCACTTACCTTTGTTCTCTCTTCCACCCCGTATCTTTGGAAGCACTTGTTTTGTCCATAACCTTACTCCAGGAACAGATAAGTTAGCTCCTCGTGCTCTTAAGTGCGTATTTCTGGGTTTCTCGAGAACACAAAAGGGGTATCGATGCTACTCTCCTGACCTCCAGCGGTACCTTATGTCCGCTGATGTTACCTTCTTTGAAACCCAATCATACTTCACAGGTTCGGGTCATCACTTAGATATTTCTGAGGTACTACCAGTTTCATCTTTTGGAGATTCAGTCACTCCAGCTCCACCACCTACAGCTCCAGTTGTAGCTCCACCACCTACAACTCCCGTTGTAGCTCCACCACCTATAGCTCCAGTTGTAGCTCTACCACCTATAACTCCAATTCCACCACCTGCAGCTCCGATTGTAGCTCCACCACCTATAGCTCCAGTTCCTCCACATAATCCAGTTCAACCTTCTGCAGCTCCACCACTCTTGACTTATCATCGTCGTCCACATCCAGCATCAGGCCCAGGTGATTCACGCCCCGCATCAGATTCTGCACCTACTGCGGACTTGTCTCCTCTTAGTCAACCAATTGCACTCCGCAAAGGTGTACGATCCACACTTAATCCTAATCCCCACTATGTCGGTTTAAGTTATCATCGTCTGTCGTCACCTCATTATGCTTTTATATCTTCTTTGTCCACTGTTTCTATCCCTAAGTCTACAGGTGAGGCACTATCTCATCCAGGATGGCGACATGCTATGATTGACGAGATGTCTGCTTTACATGCGAGTGACACTTGGGAGCTTGTTCCTCTTCCTGCAGGTAAGTCTACTGTTGGTTGTCGTTGGGTTTATGCAGTCAAAGTCGGCCCGGATGGCCAGGTTGATCGGCTTAAGGCTCGTCTTGTTGCAAAAGGATATACTCAGATTTTTGGGCTTGATTATAGTGATACTTTCTCTCCCGTGGCTAAAGTAGCATCTGTTCGTCTCTTTTTGTCCATGGCTGATGTACGTCATTGGCCTCTTTATCAGTTAGACATTAAGAATGCTTTTCTCCACGGTGATCTTGAGGAAGAAGTTTATATGGAGCAACCACCTGGTTTTGTTGCTCAGGGGGAGTTTAATGGTTGTGTGTGCAGATTGCGCAAGTCACTATATGGTTTGAAACAGTCCCCTCGAGCTTGGTTTGGTAAGTTCAGCACAATTATTCAGGAGTTCGGCATGACTCGTAGTGAGGCTGATCACTCTGTGTTTTATCGGCATTCTGCTCCTAATCTGTGTATTTATCTAGTGGTTTATGTTGATGATATTGTTATTACTGGTAATGATCAGGATGGTATTACTAATCTGAAGGAACATCTCTTTCAGCACTTCCAGACTAAGGATCTGGGCAGATTGAAGTATTTTCTAGGTATTGAGGTCGCTCAGTCTAGCTCAGGTATTGTTATTTCACAGCGGAAGTATGCCTTAGACATTCTTGAGGAGACTGGAATGATGGGTTGCAGACCTATTGACTCTCCTATGGATCCGAATGCTAAGCTTCTGCCTGGACATGGGGAGCCTCTTAGAGACCCTACGAGATATAGGAGGTTGGTTGGCAAATTGAATTACCTCACAGTGACTAGACCTGACATTTCTTTTCCGGTGAGTGTTGTAAGTCAGTTTATGGATTCTCCCTGTGATAGTCACTGGGATGCAGTTGTTCGCATTCTTCGGTATATAAAGTCAGCTCCAGGCAAAGGATTACTATTCGAGGATCGAGGCCACGAGCAGATTGTTGGGTACACAGATGTTGATTGGGCAGGATCACCTTTTGATAGACGTTCTACGTCTGGATATTGTGTTCTAGTAGGAGGTAATTTGGTCTCGTGGAAGAGCAAGAAACAGAATGTAGTTGCTCGATCTAGCGCCGAAGCCGAATATCGGGCCATGGCTATGGCGACGTGTGAGTTAGTTTGGGTCAAGCAGTTTCTCAAGGAGTTAAAGTTCGGAGAAATCAGCAAGATGGAACTAGTGTGTGATAACCAAGCTGCTCTTCATATTGCGTCAAATTCGGTGTTCCATGAGAGGACTAAACACATTGAGATCGACTGTCACTTTGTCAGAGAAAAAATACTTTCAGGAGATATTGTTACAAAGTTTGTAAAGTCGAATGATCAACTAGCAGATATTTTCACTAAGTCTCTTACTGGTTCTCGTATTAGTTACATGTGTAACAAGCTCGGTACATATGATGTGTATGCACCGACTTGAGGGGGATTGTTAGTTTATAGATATGTATAGTGTAGTCTTGTCCACATTGGAAGAAGAGTAATATCTCCTTATAGTGTATAGTTATAAATAGGGACCTCTTGTATTGTATTTATCATCTAATATCAATAACATATTTTCTCCCGTGCCTTCTCACATCATTGAATATGTCATTAAGCATTTGAGATCATGGAGGAAGATCACGGGGAGGTTATGGAGTTACAATCATAATTCCATAAGTATTATAGTAGTGAAAGTTATGGAGATAATGGAGAAAATTAGTGAG